GATAGCCAAATTATTATTATTATTTTGTTGTTTTTCGACTTTGACATCATAGTTACAATCAAATTGATTTTTGATTGAGAAAAACCAGGTAGCTGCTAATACCTGGCAGGCATACCTGGCAGGCATCGCGAATTAAACTAGGTACTTTTTAAGTACACCTGCTTTAAACGATTAGACTATTTTCAATTTATTTTTAATTACTTTGGTACATTACTGTACTGCAATGTACCGCCAACAGTTTACTGTACCCTTACTGGTTCTTTAAGTATATTTAACTACAGTTTCAGTTTCTGTTCTGAATTCAGATTACGATTGCGGTTCCTAAAAATCAAAACGTATCGTAAAAATCAAAACGTCCCCGAATACCGTATAAAAAAGTTTACAAAAATATCGGAATTTGTATACTTTAAGTACCAGAATCGGAGAAGTGGAAACTAAAATCACTTTGGACTACAAAAGGCTTTCTTTAAATGAACATTGCGATACGTTTTGTATTCTATAATTTTTCATATAACTCCCACCACTGTAAGAGTACTCAAAGCTACACACACACACACACACACACACAAGCTGGCACACGTCGGCGTTTACCTTGTTTGCCGGTACTCGTTACTCGATAGTCGACACTCGGCACTCGACCACCGTCGCCGCTGTTGTCGCCGTCCATGTTACGAGGTTGTAACCCCGGATAATGTACTTAATGCATCTACATATTAATGTCGCCCGAAAACCTGTGCAACCCTGCCCCGTCCCGTCCCGTCCCGTCCCGCCATGCCTCGCCTCAACTCGACTCTCCCATTCTACTTCTTTCCGTCTGTCTTCCGTTTGCAAATCCTTACCGGCTAGTAGCATGAACAGTATTTTCTATTACTGGGCCGTATTGTGGTCCCCCGTGTATGCCTCGTCCTCGTCCTTGCCCGGCCTTCGTTGTGCCTTTTGCTTTTTGTTGTTTTTATTGCACAAGGGTCGCCGCACACCCCAACCCCAACCCCGACCCCATCCTCTGCCCTTGCCGTGAGCCGTGTGATTGCTGCTACATGTTGCCGGTACGGCGCTACTAGTCCTACGATTACACTTGTTCCAACCGACTGAGGGGTGTGCGTATGTGTGTGTGTGTGTGTGTGTGTGAGGCCCAGGTTATATTGATATGTCTCCCAGTAGAGCTGGCAAAACAGCCGGTAGCGCAGTTAAGCTGGGACCGCAATGTGTAAAAAATTACGAGCTACATTGAAAATAAAAAAAAACAAAAAACAGCAAAAAAATAAGCAAAACGCCGGGGAGTTGAGTCTGACATTGGGTGGTGCTAGTGGTGCGTGCTGGGTGCGGGTGGTGCAAGTGCTGCGGGTGCCGCCGGTGTCTCGACTCGGGTGGTGTGTGTGTGTGTTTGGCACGCATGATAAGCCGGCAACAATATGTTAACCCTGAAATTTACTTCGCGCCCATCCCCCCCCACAATCTACTTGCACTCAAATAAGGTTGTTGTTTGAGCTACTTTATGAGTGAGCCACCGACACACTCTAAAAATTTGTAGAATTCATCGAGTTCGTTTGAGAAAAAACCACAAATATTATGCAACACCCTTGTTTTATCCATGTCATAAAGGAAACAACTTTAAATAGCTCAAGCTGTCCGCTCTTACGATCAGATAAGTATTCAAATAATTAGGAAAAAATACATATATAATAAATAAATACACATTATAAAACAATTGAGAACGCTAACGTGGAGATAGTTTGACTAGAAGATACCCTAAAGATACCCTAGGCTTTCTGATAGTATTGTGTTTTTAGCTAACAAACTCTGAATTTCTTTGTCGATCTTAATAAAAATTGAATAGTTGGAATAGAATTAATATATCTTCCCCTTATCCCTTTTTCCTTTTCTAGTGGGTTCAGGCTATAATAAATTAAATAAAACGAATATATATATAATAATTTAAGAGCTGGTTTGAGTATTATACAAACACTATACTCTTATTTTGTGGCTCAACGTGTCTTCTTGGTTTCTTAACTGTTGCATTTGGCAACAGTCAGCTAACACGAATCTGCACTAAACAGGTGAATGACCCTTGCAACTATGCGTAACTTTCGCACAGTGTACGCATGTCCTGGGAATTCCCAGGCAACAGAAAAAAAAAACCAAACAAAACTTTTTGTGACGTTCAACGGCGACAGGAAAAGGTAAAAGGTAAAAAGTAAAAGTAAGTAAAGATACGACGCGTAATGCTGCATGCTGCGTGCGGCATGCCCCTTTTTGGCGGTGCTACCCTCCTGCCCCCCACCCCCCCCATTCGTGCTTATGCTGTGCTGCGTTATAAAAATAAAATGAAATCTATTACGTGGCAAACCACCCCCCCACATTTATGTGGCAATTTGTTGTTTCTTGATTGTGTTGCTGGCAAAAAGTAAAGTGTATCATTTTCCCATTTGGCGACCCCTTTTGCGGACCGGGTCGAGCACGAAGCACCAAGCACCAAGCACGAAGCACGATATACGAGACACGAGACACGAGGCACGCACATCTCGTCGCACACTTTGTCTCAATTCCCAACTGTCAAAGTTGTGCCCGGCAATTTATGAAGATTTGTGTGGTGGCCGCCGGTAGTGCAAGAGGGTGCTACTGCTCTCTATGGAGGGTTGCTCTGCTCTGGTCTGGTCTGGTCTGGTCTGGTGTGGTCTGCCACGCCCCATCGGTTATGTGAACGCCCTAGTGCACTTGTTTTGATTTGTTTGGAATAATAACAGATGCTTATGCCGTCGTACATATTATTCATTGTTCAAATTATTAACGCTTGACAATAAAAATTGTATTTGAACAGCACTCGAAAAACCTCAATTGCCGAACTATATCCCGTACCCCGTACCCCGTACTCCGTACCCAGTACACAGTACACAGTACCCCGCCCCGGGGCAGGCCAGTCAGCAAATTGCAATTTGTGCAAATATTTATGTACATTGAAAATTACTCATTTGTGTAACACCAATTAATTTCAACAAACAGCAGCAGCAGCAGCAACAGCAGCAACAACAACACCAATCCATTTATAAGGAGCTATGTGCCATTGTTTTTGTTGTTGTCCATTGCGACCCCCACTCCCGCCCCCTCTACTTCTCCCTCTCTCTCTCTCTCTCTCTCTCTCTCTCTCTATGTGTGTGTCGCACTGTTATTCTGTTTTCTCTGTTAAACAAATGGAAAATGAGGTCTTTTGTTTCCGAAAATAAACGATGTTTGTTTGCGACTTCCACAAAGTTTGCCCAGGTCTCTTGTGCAGGTGCTCGCAAGCGAGGGGGCCCTGTAGTTAAGCACACACCCCCTCTCCACCCCACCGCACACCACTTGTCCACTTCCCCCGATTATCAGCACAAATGCATTTGATTTTCGGTTTTTGCTTTTGCAAATTGCGCCTCACAAATTGCCACTTCAACTTGTTGTTTACATTGCAATTTTTCAACACACACATTCGCCCCGGCCCACCATCAAACTCTTGCAAGCTGCCTGCTTTAACAAATTGCAACTAATTTGACAAACTAAGAACGCAGGCAAAGAAAACAAACGAAAAGAAAACAACAAAAAAATAATAAGAAAAAACACAAAATGAATCCACAGTTAATTAGTGTACTTAAAGCTGAAACAGTTCTTAAATTACCCAAAACTGAAATAGTTTTTGAGCAGCGAGAGGGAGAATTTCGACTGGAAGCAGAGCAGCTGGGATACATTTTAGATTAATTAGTAAAACAAACTCGAAATTAGTGTTATTATCAATTCCGTTCAAACCAAAACCGAAACCGCAGTCGAAACCACATTCCTACCGGTTCAAATTGAATATCGAAATCGAAATAGATTTACTTTTCAATTTTTTAAGACCCAAATACCGAAAATGCCGTATTGGAACGCAAACATTGTAGCCGAACATCATACATACGAGGTGTATAGGTGTCCAAGTGCCTCTGTTCAAGCTGGTATTCGAGAACTTATCTTATCTCATATCTAAAATCAGTTTACTTATGCAAATATATATATATATATATATATATATATATATATATATATATATATATATACCTTAAACGGTTAGAGATGATTCCTATGCATTTTTATTAATTTTTAATGGGTTCGGGGTATAACAAGGAACAAAAGCTGTATAACATGCCCTTTGAGACATCAGAGCACCTGCTGTGACCTCATTTCATTACAAATTTCGAGATTATGATAATTGTTTTGCACAAATGCCAGCTGTAATCAAATGGTATTACATTGATACATGAGGGTATTCCTGGTATTAGGGTATTCCATCTGGAAGATTCTCACTTATTTTTTCAAACTTTATACCATACGTATTACGTACCAGTACTTAAACTCTTGGTCGAGTTCCATCGTATCAGTTAAGGTTGTGGGTCTCTGAGAGAGATTCTACTGATTCTACTGATTGCCGGGCAATCTACCAGAATGTGTTTTTGAGTCGCGTCATTCACAGAGGCATCTTTCGATTATCCCGAAAGGAAGTCCGTTGGCATCCAAAGAAGGAGAGAGAGGGAAGAGAGGGAAAGGCAGGTCAGGACGCTTCTTATCATAATCATCAGAAGTTTCTTGCTATTTCTTGCTTCCGGCTTCAAGAGAAGTTTGACAGTACTTTTGATACTTTTCGAATACTTTGATTGACCTGAAGCCTAATCCGCATACGTATTGGGTATATATAAAGATTTGAATTACGTCCTTTTCTAATTGGGAATATCTATTAAAGTAATTAAAGTCAAATTACTATTTTCTTACCGACTTGAGATTATAATGCAAAAATTACAGCTGCAAAGTTGGCCATATTTTGAAAAGAAAAATGAGCATTGGGTGATTTTATTAATATTGAACACAATGAAATTGAATATTTCAAAAAGTTGAACTTCATTTAGAGTCAAACTGATTTCGAATTTCTTTCAGAACGACAATACTAAAAAAAAAATTTTAAATTTTGCTACATTGTAATCAGATTTGGCATGCAATCTCTTGAAAAATAAGAATAATAATAAAAACAAGAAAAGAACATAAGAACAGAAACGGTATCGAACATTTGTTGGCTCGAAGTAAAAGAACAATAAGTAAACGCGTCGAATTCAACTGTTTCTGACGGTCCTTTTGGCAAACTCGTTTTTTGAGCAAGCATTCCGACGGCGTCCCAGTCGATTCCGCGACTGCCGCAGATCGGCAAGACCAGCCCCAGGGCAGGTGAGATGGCCGAGATGCTCAATCTGGACAATATCATTGGTCGGCTGCTGGAGGTGCGCACAGCCCGTCCCGGTAAGAATGTCCAGCTGACCGAGACGGAGATTCGCGGCCTGTGCCTTAAATCGCGCGAAATTTTTCTCGCCCAGCCGATACTGCTGGAGTTGGAGGCGCCCCTGAAGATCTGCGGCGATATACACGGCCAGTATTATGATCTGCTACGTCTGTTCGAGTACGGCGGCTTTCCGCCGGAATCGAACTATCTATTCCTTGGCGACTATGTGGACCGGGGCAAACAATCGCTGGAGACGATCTGTTTGCTGCTCGCCTACAAGATCAAGTTCTCCGAAAATTTCTTTTTGCTGCGCGGCAATCACGAATGCGCCAGCATCAATCGCATCTACGGTTTCTACGATGAGTGCAAGCGACGATATAGCATCAAGTTGTGGAAGACGTTCACGGACTGTTTCAATTGTCTGCCAGTTGTGGCGATTGTCGATGAGAAGATATTTTGCTGTCATGGCGGGCTGAGTCCCGATCTAACATCCATGGAGCAAATCAAGCGGATAATGCGTCCCACAGATGTGCCCGATCAGGGCTTGTTATGTGATATACTTTGGTCCGATCCGGATAAGGATACAATTGGCTGGGGCGAGAATGATCGCGGTGTTAGTTTCACCTTTGGCGCTGAGGTTGTTGGCAAATTTCTGCAGAAGCACGATCTTGATTTGATTTGTCGCGCCCATCAGGTGGTCGAGGACGGTTACGAGTTCTTTGCCAAGAGGCAGCTGGTCACACTCTTTTCGGCGCCCAACTATTGTGGGGAGTTCGATAATGCTGGCGCCATGATGTCCATCGATGAGACGCTCATGTGCTCCTTCCAGATCCTCAAACCCGTCGAGAAGCGTAAAAAGTAATGATGAATAGAGAAAAGCCCCCTCCCCTCCCGACCCCCTCTCCGCTGATCCGTGAAGCCCAGCCCGATGTGCTGTAACTGTTTTTTACTTGAACATTGTAAGGATTGTAGCCCCATTAGAATTATAATAACTAGCCGATAACTAATTCATTATTAAGCTTTTCGGAGATGCTACAAATATTTCAAGACTTTCGAATAAACATTTGTATTGAATTCATGAATAAACAAAATACACATTGAATGTACTTTTCTGCCTCCCGCTCACAAATTCTTTAAGAACTCTTTGTTCCCTCGAAAGGATATACACACATTCCAGTTGAACTGCGAGACACTGTATATATATATATGTATGTATATACTATGTAATGAATTTACATACAATGAAAATAATAAAATCAGCTGTCTGGGGCGCCACAACAAATTAGCCGAGAGCTAAAAAATGTAATGAGCCCACGAGAAAAAAGAACGAAAGCAAAACAAAACCAAAAAACAAATGAAAAACGCCGGCTAAAGCAGACAAAATGACGCCAAAAACGCTTTATTATGCCAAAAGCGAGGTAATAACAAATATAGAAAAAAATACAAAAACAAAACAAAAAAAAAAGGAAAAAAAGGAAAAAGGGAAAAGGGAATGGAAAGTCGGCAACAAAAAATTGCATTATATGTAATGAGGTCATTTGCGCGTAAACAATCAGACAGCCAGACAGATACACCAAACGGGCGAGAGAGAGAGAAAGAGAGAGAGAGAGAGAGATAGAGAAAGAGAGAGAGAGCGAGCGAGAGAGAACGTGCACATGTTTATCAACAAGCTGGCAAATAAATAAATTATGTTGGCAACGCTATTCAATAAATGATGAAGCAAAAAACGGAATGCAAAGCACCAAAACAAATAAGAAGCAAATAAAAAGCAAAATGGCGACGGCGAAACAATCCTGTCTGTGTTTGTGTACTTGTGTGTATGTGTGTGTGTGTGTGTGCGTGTGAGATGCGCTAGAATCATTCAATTGATGCAGCATTTTATTTTTATTTTGCCAGTGCCAAAATGCATTTGATTTGCCTTGCAGGATTATGCATTTTTAGTACACTCACACACACACACACACAAACTTATGTACAGTTAGACGCTCATATATAAATAAATGCCACACCCACACGCAACTCGTCAGCCGTCTCGCTCTAGCTAACGGAGACCAAGACCTACAAACACATACAAATGTCAATTGTTTGTGTTATCTGCTTGCTTGCACGTGGCGCCATCTAGCGCACAAAGTCATCGCTCATTTTAGTTTTTGTTTTGCGTTTTGTTTTGTTGTTGCATAATTTTATTAATTACAAATTATGCGCTTTAATGAAATGGGGCAACACTGGCCACACAACGACGACGACGACGACGACGTTGACAGCAAGACGGCTGCTCTCTCGTAGGCACAGCCCAAATGAATTTTGCATAAGCCTCAGCCAACCACAATGCAGCATCAGGAATCAGGCATCAGCATCAGTAGCAGTAGCAGCAGCAGCAGCAGCAGCAGCAGCATCTGTTGGCGTCGCTGCCCGAACTCTGTGTCGCAACCCTCACCACCACACCGCTCTTCCACTGTTACTGCGTCGCAGACGAAATGCTGTTCGCTCTCATGCTCTCTCTCGGCGCGCAGGGTGTGTGTTGAGCAGTGCGCACAAGCGAGATAGCCATATGCGGGAGTGGGAACGGGAACGGGAGCTTGCGCCAAGGGTGCAAACCAATAACAGTCAGACTAATTTTGGGATTGGTTTATAATTGAAGAGTTTGCCATTGTGTTTGCTGCTGCTGCTACTGCTGCTGCTTCTGCTGCTAGAAGACAGAGGCCGCCACCTCGTGTAGTTTTTATAGCACAAACAACCAACGCTGCCCGCCTCTCTCTCTCTCTCTCTCTCTCTGTCTCTGTCTCTCTCTCTCTCTCTCTCTCTCTCTCTGTCTCTCACTCTCTGTCTCTGTCTAGCGCTCGCTATGTCTGCAGTGAGCGAGCGAGCGAGCAAACAAACGATAACCAGAGCGGGAGTGAGTGAGAGAGCTGATGTCGTCGTCGGCTTTAGTCTGTTATGTACATGGAACATGGAGCCTGGTCACAGCTGAGAGCTGAGCTGCCGGCAGGCTGCTTGCTTCTTATTGTTGTTTTTCGTAGGCCTTCCCCATGCGCCGCCTGCTTATCATTTTAGAGTTTTACATAATTGCCCACAGCCAACATGCGTGTCTCTCTCTGTCTCTGTGGGTGTGTAAGCGTCTGTCTGTGTGTGTGTGTGTGTGTATATATATATCTATGTATTTATAGCTTGTGTCCATTTCTAAGCGTCGCATTGAGGGGGCGTGGCATGTTTTGTACATGCACAGACAGACACATGCCTAGCATAAATACATATCTTTTTAGAAAAAGATAAATAAATATGAGTGTATAGCGACACCAACCCGCACACCCCTCCCCCACCCTCCTTCCCAGTTGTTGTTGTTGTTGATGTTGCATACTTTTTAGTTGTAATCAGTTTAAATGCTTAGCTTAACAACAAGCAACACACATCTAAAAACAAAATAAAAATACAAATGCGACAGTGTGAGAGAGAGCGAGAGAGAGAGAGAGAGTGGGGGGAGCAAGAGAGCGATATGTATATGCGTGCAGAGAAAGAGAAAGAGAGAGGGAGAGGGAGAGAGTGTAGAGTCTACTTTGTAGAGTTTGTTGTAGGCAGCGATGGCTGCCTTTCGGATTTTGTTCCTCTTTTGCTTTTTAGTTGCTATTCATATTTGTTTTAATAATTGAACAACTCTATAAATATTTGATGCATAGACAAAAGAGTTGCGACCGTGTCTCAACATTAACCTACCCGTTGCTGCTTACCTCTCTCCCTCCCTCTCTGTCTCTTTCTCTCTCCAGCCAATACTCCTTTGCAGCTGTGTGTGTGTGTCTGTGTGTGTTTTGCCTCGACTCTCGTTCAATTAAAGCTACACGACACAAAAGATTTTGTAACAAGTGCTTAGCACCATTCCCCCCCCCCCCCCCTACTTCCCCACACCTCTTCCCCTTCCACCAGCCAACAAACCCATTCAAAAGTTGCGCCAGTTTTTCAACTCAAGTTTCACAACACTTTTCAGTGTTGTTGTTTTGTGAGAACCCTTTATCGCCCAACTTTTGCGACTGGACTTTAATTAGATATAAAGTCGTTGTACGCATTTTACATTTCCACTTAATATATATATAGCATCCACTGTACACACACACGCACACACACACACACACACACATACACTTTCTCAACTTTAAATGCCATTTGTGTGTTAGTTGATCAAAATTACTCAATTATTTAGTCGGTTGGGTCTAAGCCGTTCACTCGAATGGGACCTTTAATATTTGAGTAGATTTGTGTAGTTCACAGGATATATATACATATATATATATATATATATACAGATTTGTACATGTATATGAGAACATATATCCCAAAACTGCATTTGTGAATTTTAATTAACTCAATGTATGCTTAGTAATTAATTGTTATCCTCTAAGCACAATCAGAGATGAAAAAAAGCCGACTGCGAAATACTCTGCTGCCAAGGGACGGAAGTTGGCGTAGTCCAACAATTGTTTTCCATTTCTATAGGGCTTTAAGAGCAACATGCCTTTTAAATTTTCGTGACTCTAGCTTTCAAATTGTGTAAGACATATAGTTTTATCGATTTAATATCGGTTTTTATCGATATTTTTCTATTATCTCTCATCAGAGTCCATTGATAGCCAATAGTCCAAGTTGGCTCCATTATATTCTTCTTCTTCTTCATTGTCCTTTCTTTTGTTAACCAACAGATGCACCATTCAATGGATCAACTGGATATGCTGGACCCGACGGGCTCGATGACAACGTTAGCCCCCATCTCGGAGTCGCCATTAACGCCCACACACCAGCACCTGCACGGTTCCTATCACAGTATGAATCACATGATGAGCCACCACCATCCGGGCACGTTAAGTGGCCACACGGGGGGTAAATATCCACATAATATCCAATACATCCATATACCCATAAGCCCCGATTAGATCACATATTACCCTGCAGACCGAAGTCCAATTGAGTTGAATTTTATGATCTATACGATAGAGTACATATCCCAAAAATATTAGGTACATTTTTGGTATTCATAGCTATGACAAATATATAAGTATAGGTTGAATCCTTCCGACTAATTCTATATATGCACTGCCTGCAGTCAAAATAAGGATCTGTTTCAAGAAAGAAAAAATAATAAAAGATTTCTTTACTCTGCTTTGGAATAGGGCACCATGGACACTCAGCGGTACATCATCCTGTCATAACGGCGGCTGTGGCAGCCGCTGGCCTGCATCCGGACACCGACACCGATCCTCGGGAGCTGGAAGCTTTTGCGGAGCGTTTTAAGCAGCGTCGCATTAAGCTGGGTAAGATTCAACTAAAGTTTGTTATTGTTGCGCTTGAATCAAGTACAAATATTTCTTCTGCTAAAAACTTAAAGAAAATATTTGTTTAAAAATCTAACGTAAACAATTCACGAACCCCTCAAATGAGTGCAGTATATCTTGTTTCTTTATTTGACACATATCCCAAAAGCAATTTACAATTTGTATAAAGAATTGTTTATTTATTTTATTTATTTTTTTGTTGATTTGATTTGATTTGATTGCAGGTGTCACACAAGCGGACGTGGGCAAGGCGTTGGCCAATCTCAAGTTACCTGGCGTCGGGGCGCTGTCGCAGAGCACGATCTGCAGATTCGAGAGCCTGACGCTGTCCCACAACAACATGATCGCACTGAAGCCGATCCTGCAGGCGTGGCTGGAGGAGGCCGAGGCGCAGGCGAAAAACAAGCGACGGGATCCCGATGCGCCCAGTGTTCTGCCGGCGGGCGAAAAGAAAAGGTAGAAATGGTTTCAATTACCAAGCCAAACGGTAAACGATAAACAAAACAGACACCAATTCAAGCAGTGCCCAGGAATCCCCTCCCACCACTCAGCTCACACCTTCTCCATCCAAACAATAATTTACCAAGGCTGTAAACTGAACTACAACTATTCTCAAATCGACGAAGCGTATCTAAAACTATCCAACTATCTAAGTTGCCAAAGCCATAATTATTCATTTTGAAATGGGGCTACAAGTCATGCTTAATTAATTCGCTACTTATTATTTCTGTTTTTCTTTTTTTGTAACTTAAGCTAAAATTAAAATGGAAACAAGAAGCAACTGCTTTGTTAGTTAAATTTCGCTACAAATCTAAAAAAAAAGGAAACAAAAATGAGTATCGATGCTATAGTTGAATGAGCTCGACTAGGAGATAACATAAGTGATACCGATTATTCCTATGACATCTATAAAATATCTAAAGGTAGCTTCGCGAGGTAATCCCTCGTGCATATATAAAGCCAGACAGAGAGATGGATAAGCAGACGGACAGACGGCTATCTAGACTCGGCCAGTGCTGCTGATCAAGTATATAGTACATATATACATATATGCCATGGGTTTAAGGATGTCTGCGCCAAAGTAGACATTTTATGATTTTTGGGTTAATATCGTCATATGGGTTTACTTAGATTAGGTTGGGGCAGATGACGGCAGAAGGATGGAAAAGGCCCCCATATCTGAATATCTAGATTGCAGGCAGATTGTGTTCCATCCCGTGAAACTTTCGCCTTCTCCTACAGAGAGCCTTAGATTGACGGATGAATCAGGGATGAATCGATTCCCATTTGTCTCTGAATTTGCATGGAATACCTATGAAGCACAGCTCGAGGAATTCTAGCAGTCGGAGTGACTACAGTTTTAGGGTTTACAGCCTTGCCTAAACCCTTTGTTAAGCCTTAACTCTCAAACAACAATTCAACCACCAAATTGGCAGCGTATTTAATTTGGCAATGTGCAAAAAAACAGAAAACAGAAAACAAAAAATAAAATCAAAAGCAAAACATCAAAATCCAAAAGCCAAACCCAATGCAAAATTGTTCAGCATTTCGCAAAAAAGCAAAAAGAGAAAAGAAAAAAGTACATAAACAGAAACAGTTGTAATTAATGCAATTAATTAGGGCCCCATTTCTAAAGTAATCTATATCGAGTCTTTTTTCAAGAAAAAGGACTTCCATTGCGGCACCTGAAAAGCGTTCCCTGGAAGCCTACTTCGCCGTCCAGCCGAGGCCGTCGGGTGAGAAAATCGCTGCCATTGCCGAAAAGCTGGATTTGAAGAAAAACGTGGTGCGCGTCTGGTTCTGCAATCAACGCCAAAAACAAAAACGTATGAAATTTGCCGCTCAACAACACTGACAATCAAATAATACAGCCACACAATTAGGTATAGTTAGTAGTGTAACACCATCAATGACGGGACACGGCTCCGCCGGATTCGGATACTGATAGTCGTTTATGACGGCAGCAGCAGCAGCAGCAGCAACAGCAGCAGCAGCGACAGCAGCAGCAACAACAACAACAACAACTTCTTCTCTAATGGGCGACTATTATCTGTAGTGTGATTCGGATATGGATACGGATACCGTTATGGATTCGGATACGGATACGGATACGGATTCTGATTGGGATCTGGGATCTTCGCATACAAATTGGATGACGTTTTGGCCGGCAGCAGACAACAACAGTTAATCAGCTACTACAACCAACAACCAACAATCAACAACCAACAAACTTTACTTTACTTTTTTATTTAACAGTCTGGCAGCACCTACACACACACACACACACACACTCAGTTAAACGCGATACAAACACAAGAAGAACTACAAGAATTTTTTAGGAACGAATAATGAAACAATGGACCAACATATCAAATGCAATAATTTATTGAATTGTATAGGAGAAAAAGGTGGGTAAAACAAACATAAAAACAAATAACAAACACAGAAAAAAACAAACACAAAACAATCTTAAAGTAACCCGATTACTAAATACCCTTGCTGGCAAATGATTTATTTCGATATCATTTAACATATCTGACCTTAACAGTAGCATCAGTAGACATCCTGACAGCCAAAGCAGCAAATGATGATATTAGTAAATATAAGCCCCAAAAATAGACAACTTCATAAAATGGATTTGAAAATAAAAGCAGATGATTTATTCTTCGTATGCTTAAATGAACACAATGTTTGTTTCTTAGTAGTCCCTTTTTGACACCCTGAAAGCCAAACAAGCAAATGATAATCTTAGTGAAACTTAAATCCCCCGGAATCAAGTATTATTTCATTTTCCAAAAAAAAACACAAAGCTTTCTAAATTGAAGGGTGAACACTTCCGACTTTTATAAATGGCTGACTGGGCGATTTTCTAAAACTATCGTAGTCTAGAGCATATCGTATGATATATACATATATAGCAAAATCAAGACAGCTAAGAATGCAGTAGTCGCAACTGCTAGACTAGCACATATCCTGTTACCAGCTCGAACACACTCTAAAGCACATACTCACATATACACACATACACTCATTACATATCTATACATATTTGATACATGCTGCAAGCAGATAGTTTTCTCGATTCCCCGATATAGGAAACACCAAATTTAGGTTGTTATAAAACTAACATGGCCAAAACTTTATGCTTGAGATTTCTTGTGCTTCTTTAATTGTTATCTATTTGTGTGATTTATCTATTTAAGTGATACCTGTAGAATAATCTACATAGCTCTAGCCTCAATTTATGCAACCCATTTCTATATGGGTACAGGGTATACGGGAACATAGACATAGTTTCACAAGGGATAACTGCCCGGCTACCTATTTCTATGTCTAGGTACTGCCTAGAACCAATTATATGGGACAGCTATCACATATATAATCCTTAACAGATATATGTGAAATATAGCCGATTCTTTTCTCTTGTAGCATTGTTGTATCTCTGAACTGAACACTTAAGTTAATGCCATTGTCCTTTGATGTGCCCTACTAATCAATTAATTTTGAAATTTATTTTATTTTTTCAGATTTAAAATAAACCACAAAAAGAAAATATAAAAAAAAAACAAACAAAAAACAAATATAAAAAAACTTGAAATGAATAAACAATTTACACCGGGCAACAAGCAAAACTAAAAACACACTCACACACACAAACACACACACAAATAAAGCGACCAAAAAAACTCCACAAAATTGCTTCAAGTGATCCGATAATAAGAATTGCGCTCTATTTAAAAAACAAAAAAAAAAAAAAACTACAACTAAGCAAAAAAAAACTGGGTTAACTACAACTACAAAGCATACACGCAGACACACATATTACCCCATGTATATGTATATATATTATAGAGTTTCGATTCGATTGTAAATACCGTAAACAAAAAAAAAAAAAGGAAAGAAAAGGAAAAAAAGAAAACGAATCTAACATTCCTATATGTATAATGGTTATGCTAGCTTCAAAAGAAGCGGGAGCAAAACACAGTAGATGCAATAGTGAGACTTTTAGTCCAAACACACAGACACACGCTCCGGACCAGACCAAACCGAACCAAACGGAACCGAACCGAACCGATCCGAACCTAGACCGGTACCGGATGCAATCCCAGCGGAACCCAAACTAGCAGCAAAACTTCTTGATGCTTCCTTCCTTCAGTGCGTTATAGTATTTACTTAGTTGTATTTCATTTATTTTGTTTTTCTTCTACATTATACATCCAATTAGACATATAATTAACCTTAGCACACAAACATACACTCCAACACAACCACACACACACACACACACAGCAGATTTTTTTTTTCTTAAATTTAAGTAAACTAATGCAAAACAAAGGAAAAACAAAAAAATGTTAGCAACAACTGAAGATATTGCAACGAATTTAAACAGTTGCCAAACTAAACTAACGGAAAAACCAAAAGAAATACTAAAAAAAAAATAAAAATACAACGACAAAAAAAAACATAACAAAAACATTGATTAATAACTAAAAACTAACTAATAATACAAATATATATAATATAAAATTTTAATAAATATATTATATATATAAATTTTTTTGTTTTTTTTTTAATTTAGCACATTTTATTAGTTTTAACTAGACTTGTACATATGCAAAATGAGAATGATATACTATTTATGGTACTACATGAGTACTATAAGTGTATAAATATATATCGCATATATATATATATATATATATATATATATATATATAAAGTGTGAGAATGATTTTGAATGTTTAGCAGCCATAACAAAATCATGAGCAAGAAGCGAAAAAGCAAATTCAATAATAATTTTAAAATAAAAAAAATAGTTTTGTATTAAAAATAAAAAACCAAAAAAAAATTAAAACAAAAACGATAAAAATAACACAAAATACCAAAAAAAAAACACAAAAAAACATTGCCGACAAATTAGTGCATAAAACAAACCAATTTTTTTCAAGCGCATAATAATAATTATAATAATTATATTTATAATTATATATATATATATATAATTATAATATATATATAATTATAAAGCATAAGGAGAGAAATGTAATAATATGGTAATTGATAATGACACAAAAATGAAAAGCTCATAACTACATTTAAATTTAATTTTAGTAGTTTCTAGACACAAAATATTGTAGCATGAAAATCAATTGATAAGCGGACGGCGGGCGATAAATGCAGCTAAATAAGCTAAAACTCAAATATACAAAAAAAAAAAACCTATAAAAAATTAAAAACCAAACAAATATTTTAATTTTGTACAGCATACGTGAAAGATCTTTGAGAAATAAAAATGAATAAATTTCAATGGGTTTTACAACAGCGCAGCTGATTGGTGAGCTCATTTCTTGTTTATCGATAAATGTGATCGATTAAACATGAATTGAGAGTCAACTCAATCCATGAGCCTAGAAGGGGATCATCAAGGGAATCATGGTTGGGCAGTTACACCTTTCACCTCAATGCAAAATCTTTTAAGCATTTCCAAAAATATCCACAAATCGGTTAAAGAGATTTTTCAGATGACATATAGATATAGGTGCGTAAGTCCAATTACTATCGATATATGTAGGCCAATTTTAGTAATGCATGCGTATTTTAAATTCGCACTTTACTTATTTGACACTTCTTTGCCTTGGCCACTGATGGTTCAACGCTCGCTCCAATCAACGCTCTCGATTGTCAAGTGGATCCTGCCGAGTCCTGTGTGAGGGCCATTAACTGACCAAAGGACTTTCAAATTTCTAGTTTTGAGAACATAACACCAATTTCCCTTCGGTCTGCAAATTGTGGAGCATCTTTTGCTATTTTGGTTCTTTAAGCAGCCCGCCTAAAAGTATGCTTTACAAATTTCGACTTGGAGCAACTAGTTTGCACAACATATTTTATTCTTCAGCCTAAGGGTATGCTTTAAAATTCTACATTTAGTTAGACGTGCTGCAAATTCAAATAGAAATTAGTTTTGTGTGCGAAAAGACTCTTGAAGCGAACTACATTTATTGTTTGTATGTTTTGTTTATTGTTTATTGTTTCTTGAAACAAGATAGCATTGCATACGATGTTGTTCTGCGAGCATTGGCAACACTTAGCTACTATATATGTATTTATATCGTATAATCCTTGTGGGATTTATTATTATTAGTAGTAGTAGTAGTTTTTAGAATGCAACCCGAATTTACAGCTACTTCTAGACGACCTTGTAGCGTCCCTTGTTGAAGACATGATGGGCCGAGCTCAACTTGAGCAACTCCTCCTTGATGAGGCGCGTTATCTCCCGCTTGGCCTTCTGCACGGCCAGCTCGCTGCAGCTCTCGATGGCCAAATAGAGTTTACGCTCACCCTCTGGCGGATTTTTGCCCTGCGGCACATACGTGCCACGCACCGTCAGTCCTGCCTCCGAGTATTCGGAGATTTGGGCCAGCGCCTCCTTTGAGGTGACCTTCCAGCGTGCCTGCTGAGGGAAATCATTGATTTCCAGCTCCTCTTCGTATTTGGTAAACGAATTGCTATTGGTGCCCATCAGTGCCGCCATGCTCTCCTCAACCTCCTTGGGCTGATAGTTGAGCTTGTTGTTCAGCTTCGCCACCAGCTGTTCGACAACAGTGCGCGCCGTCAACATCGGTTGCCCACTTTGACCCGGCTGACCCTTCATTAGCGAATCCGCTGCAACAGCGGCGGCTGCCGCCGATTGATTGGCCTTGGTGTCCAGATTGCGGCTGCTGCTTATCTTGGAGGCCAGTCGCTTGGCCAGCTCCAGTTTGTCGGAGCCGACTGTCGATGCTGAGGCCAACTGCTGTTGTTGTTGCTGTTGCTGCAGCAACTGTTGCTGCTGCTGTTGTTGTTGCTGTTGCAATTGCTGCTGCTGCTGTTGCAACTGCTGCTGCTGTTGTTGTTGCTGCTGCAGCTGCTGCTGCTGCTGCTGCTGCTGGGTGAGCTGTAGTTGATTTGTGCCGCCAGTGGCAGATGTGGCCAACGATTGACCACTGCCAGCCAGCGTCGAGGTATCCTTAACGGTTCGCTTGGCGGCAAAGATTTGCTCGATCTGCTGATCGATATCCTGTTCAATGTCCTCCTCATCATCGGAATCGGCCAGGCCGAGAGCGGCCTTCTGCAGTTTCTTGCTCTCCTTGACCGCATTGAATTCCTGCTCATCGAATTTGAAGCCTTTGCCACTGAAACCGCCACCGGTGTGCACCGTCTTCCCCTCCGCCTCCTGGGCGGCCTTGTAGTCCGTCCACAGCGTTTGCAGCTCCGGCGGTATTAGTGTGCCGGACAGATCAAAGGCACGTATCACATCGCCCGCATAACGTGCCTGCTCCGGCGTTATAAACGTAAACGCACAGCCCTTGTTCCCGGCGCGACCAGTGCGTCCACACCTGCATAGGATAACATAACATAATCTGCATAAATATATACATATATATGATCGAGCTCACCTGTGCACATAGTCCTCGTAGTGATTGGGCACATCGTAGTTGACGACCAGAATGAGATCCTTGACATCGAGACCGCGTGCCGCCACCGAGGTGGCAATCAGCAGACGCACCTTGCCCGACTTGAAGTCAATGATGGTCGAATCGCGATCGAACTGATCGATGCCACCGTGTAGGCTCATGCACGGATACGATGCCCTCATCAGATCACGCAGCAATATGTCGGCATTCTCCTGCTTATCGACAAAGACAATGATGCTGCCCGTCTCCTGGTAGATGCCCAACAGTTCCAATAGCTTGAAGAACTTGGCCTCATCGTTCAGTATAACCACATGCTGTTCGACATCCTTGCAGACCACCGATCGTCCGCCGACAATTACCTCCACCGGTTTTTTGAGTATCCGTCGAGCGAGTGCCTCCATTTGTCGGGGAAATGTGGCACTGAACATCACCGTTTGTCGATCCGGTCGGACATTGTCGATAATGCGCATCACTTGCGGCTCAAAGCCCATGTCGAACATGCGATCGGCCTCATCGAGCACCACATACGTGACCCGTCTCAAGTTGGTCACCCGGCCGGAGTTTGCCGCCAGCATATCAATCATGCGTCCCGGCGTGCAAACAATAATCTCAGCGCCACGTTTCAATTCCGCTATCTGCTCGGAGATGCCAGTGCCGCCATAAACACAAACCGGTCGCAGACCCAGCGAGCGACTGAATCGACGAATGTCCTTGCCAATTTGCATGCAGAGTTCGCGTGTCGGTGCCATTATGATGGCAATGGCGCCATCGCCATCCTCCAGCGTTGGCTGATCCAAGATGTGACGAAACATGGGCAGAATGAAGGCCAACGTTTTGCCACTGCCCGTTTTGGCAATGCCAATCAGATCTCGGCCAGACATTATGGCGGGTATCGCTTGGCACTGAATCGGTGTTGGCTTCTCAAAGCCCAGTTTCCGCAACACATCCATTTCCTTCTTGCTAACGCCACATTGCGCCCACGTCTAACAAAGAGACAGAAACAGAAAAAGAATTAAAGTGGCAAATTGTGGTTAATTGATTGATTGATTGATTGATTAAGCGTACCTTGATGGGCTTGGGGCAGCCCTTGCCCTTGACTTGAACACCCTCGAGATCGGTGCGATACTTGTCCACCTCGGAGTTGGTCATGCGTCCCAATTCGGGCACCTCCACGTAGAAATTCTTACGGAATGGCGCATAGCTGACCGATGAATGATCGATTTTGGCCAACTCTTTGCGATGCTTCATCGCCAGATTGACGGCCGTGTCGCGTATATCCTCCAGCTCATCCTCACTCGAATACTCCAGACTATCCATATTCTGTTCGATTAGTTCGCCCTTCTTCACCTGGGTCGTCTTCTTTTTGGCCACGCCCGTCAGAATGACGACGCCCTGCGCTTTTGGCGGCGGCGTCACAAAATGATTGACGCGTCGCATCTCCTTGTTGACCTCCTGCATGTAGGCATCCAGTGGATCCATGTCATCCTCATCATCAACATTATTCTCCGGCTTCGTCGTCGTTGTCGTCGTCGTCGTCGTCGCCGTCGTCTTTGTCGCTGTTGTTTCGGTTTCCATTGGCGCCGCTGCGGCGGCAGTTGGAGTTGCCTCCGCCAACTGTTCCTTGCTAGTCTCCTTTTCTTTGACAGCAGCAGGAGTTGCAGCAGCAGTTGCAGCAGCAGTTGTAGCGCCAGCAGGAGCAGCAGTTGGAGCAGCAGTTGCTGCTGCTGCCTCTTTTGCTGGCGATGTAATTACCATGTTGAGCACCCGACTGAATGTGGGACGCTTCAGTGGAGAAAACTTGGACTCGACGAGATCATCATCGAATCGCTTGCGTATGCTAAGGAATTTCGATGGTGGCGAATCGGGCTCCTCCTTGTTCCCGTCCATTTCAGTTGTGCCCGCATCTGGCGACACATTGTTGTCCTCCTCCTCGGACTCATCCTCGAGACTCCATTTCTTGATCGTTGTCGTCGTAGCCGTTCCGCTTTCCGTTCCCGTCTCCATGCCCGTACCCTTTGTCATTCCCGCACCCGTTCCCGTTCCCGTTCCGATGCCCGTGGTTGCCATCATTGTTGTTGTTGTTGCCGTGGTTGTTGTTGCTGTTGTTGGCTTGCCGGTTGCATCGCGCTGCTTGCCGGCTTCCTGTTCGCGCTGCTTGCGCTCAGCACGCCAACGTTCGATGCGTTCGCGTCGCTTGATCATCTCCTGTTCGAGACGACGCTGCTGCTCCTCCTTGTCAATCTCCACCTCCTCCTCGTCGGCCTCCGCATCCGCTTCCGCCTCGCCATTTGTCGAGCTGCTCGACGACGAGCCAACGGGTATGATGAGTGTCGCTATCGGCGCCACTGGACGACGTGTCGTTGTCTCCCGTTCTCGTTCTCGTTCCCGTTCCCGATCTCGTTCACGTTCTCTTTCACGTTCCTTGTCCCTATCCCGTTCCCGTTCCCGTTCTCTTTCCCGATCTCGATCACGTTCTCGTTCCCTTTCTCTCTCCCGTTGCTCCCGCTGTCGCTCGCGCTCGCGTTCCCTATCCTTTTCACGCTCCCGCTGCTCTCGCTCCTTCTCCTTCTCCTTGTCCTTATCCTTCTCCTTGTCCCGTTCTCGCTCCAGCTGGCGTCTGCAATAGATGAAATATTTTTAATTGAGAAAATTGATAGACTGAGACAAAGATTATATACACATAGCTGGACAACAATTAGTAATCTTAATGACAATCGCAAGTCTCATCGAATATTTGTTAAAACGAGTTGCATAAAATTTGGAAAACTTTTTCCAAGATCAAGCAGAAATTGAACGATCAATGTCCAATTGATCTGAGAACTTCTTTACAAATTAAAGGCTAAATAAATATCGAGTCAAGTTAATTAACTATGCTAAACGATGCTTGTCACCAAGTTATTGCTTCGGCACACCTATCTTACTGTCCAGATGTATATATATATATATATATATACATGTGTACTACTCGTGTTGATTGCTTACTTTTCCTTGTCGTAATCCTTGGAGCGGGATCGTTTGCGTCGCTTTGTATCGCGTGTGGAGCTCATCGGCTCCTTGGGCAGCTCCTTGGCACGCTTGCGTTCCTCGCGTGCAGCAGATCTGCTGCTGCTACTGCTGCTGTTGTTGTTGCTGTTATTGTTGCTGCTGCTGATTGTGCTGGGCAAGGAGCTGCTGCCATTTCTTGAGGATTCATTGCCGCTGCGTCCGCTGCGACTCTCATAGTGTCTGTCCCGCTCCCTCTCCCTGTCGCGCTCGCGTTCCCGATCCCGTCCACGCCTGTTATTAACAAATATATAGATTGATATTTTTTTATTAATTGCTTTTTTCTTTTGTGACTGTTTCAAACTTACCCAGAGGAACTTTTTGACATTTGAGTTTTGTCGGCGTCTCTTTATTTGACTCTTTTTTATTGAATAATGAGTGCAGCCAAAGTGTTACCAAATTGTCGCTTGTCGCTATTTATTTATGTTTGCTTTTAAACAATAATTATTTATTGTTTGCGCTGCTTGTCGCGGTTTATTTCTTGACTTAAATTCGGCAAATAAAACTGTAATCGTTTACCCAGCAGGGCTGCACAAACACTCACACACAACCAAGTTAACCAGGGCTGAGGAGAAAATGTGTCTGCGGCGTTGCCATATGGGCTAATCATCAACAAAATTTAGACAGCAAAACCTTGCACGAGTTATGCAGGCATCAATTGCGCAAAATATATTCAAATATAAAATCAATGAGTTAAGTAAAAATTGTAATCACAAATGGATGCCATCTAAATTTTCTCGATTCGTGAGCGAATAACACAAATGACATCGTTTTGACAATACTGCCACCTACTTAATAGCTTAAATATGGTGTTTGTTATCGATATATCGATATGGCCGCTCAGCTGTTATGTTGTTGCACGTGCTACGAGCCAAAAGCGTCTAAACAAAAATTTCTGTTGCTTGTTGCACAAAATAAGCAAAAGAAATGTCATTGCCGGCAATCGAGATAATTGTGGGCACCTACAGCGAATATCTGTTGGGCTACCAGCTGATCAGGCAGCGCGACGATAGCCAAGCACAATTAAAGCAAACATTTGCCGATAAATCGCATGCCGGCTCCATAAAATGTTTGGCCGCCAAGGGAAAATGGATCGCCAGCGGTGGCATCGATGATCGCATCTTCATATACGATATGGAGCGACGCAAACAGGCGCATATTCTGACCAATCACACGGGCACAATTAACACACTCGTCTTCGCATCGGACGCGACGCATCTGTTGTCGGGCGGCGCCGATGGCCACATGATTGCCACCCGTGTCGGCAGCTGGCGAATCGAGGGCGACTGGCCGAAGGCGCATAATCGCAAAGCGGTTAATCTGCTCGCCTGCCATCCCAGCAATCGTCTGGCCCTCTCCCTGGGCGCCGATCTCGTGTTGAACACATGGAATCTGATCAAGGGTCGCGTCGCATACCGCACCAATTTGCGGAGCAAACGAGAGCTGGGCACGGCACCCGACTGTCTGTCCTGGTCCACAACCGGTGAACATTTCACGCTCAGTGGCCCACTAGCTTTGGCCATTTTTGAGATACGCTCGGCCAGCATTGTGCGCCATATTAAGTTGCCAGCGAAAGCCATTTGTGTCGCCTGGCTGGATGCCTCCAATTGTTTGGCAGGCCTCGAAAACGGCAGCATTGCCTGGATCTCACTGGAGGAGGGGGGCGAGGAGGATCAGGAGCAGCATGTAATATATATATTTGTTGTAATCTGTTTGTTAATTGAAACTAATCTCAATCTTTCGACTGATTGACAGCCGCACATAATTGCAGCGCACGAGCAGCGCGTGAAGGCCATGTCCTGCCTGCAGGACACTCTGGTCACCATATCCAGGTGAGTGAGTGACTGAGAGAGAGAGAAAGACTGATTAATTAACTCCTTTAATCCCCCCCAGCTCGGGCGAGCTCAAAGTGTGGCAATTTCCAAGTGTGGCCGATAAAAAGCTGCAGCTGCTTGCCGAGGCCAACATCGATTGTCGTCCAACTTGTCTGGCACTGCTCGACTTACAACAGTGTGGCAAGCAGCAGCAGGAGCCGCAGCACGACAAACAGTTGCCAGAAAGTCGACTGGATTCGCGGCAGCCAAAGGAGCAGCAGCCAGCAATGGCAACAAGGCGTGGCTTTGTCTCCATAGAATTTGATCAGCAGGCTAAAGATGACGAGGAAAACAGTGAAAATTCACCAGTGAGTGCTGAAGAAGAGGCGGAGAGTGATGACGCGGAGAGTGATGACGCGGAGAGTGATGAAGAGGAGAGTGATGAAGTAGAGAGCGACGAGGAGGAGGATGAGCGGCAAGCACAGAAGCAACAACGTGTTACCAATCGCAAGCGTCAAGCGCCTCTCAAAAGTGCTCTAAAATCAAATAAGTCTAAAAAATCAAAGACAAACAAATAACAACAATCAAATTTTGCAGCATTTTGCATTTTTCCTACTTATTTTAAGATTTTGATCTGTTTTTTTTGTTTCCGTGTAAAAAAAATGTCTGCTGACTACAATACGAATATATATATATATATATATATATATATATATATTTATATTTGAGGCACATATCTTTTTTTTCCAAATGGTTAGTTCGGCATCAAAATTGTCAACAAAACTCAAAGAAAATTAGAAATGGAATAAAGAGAAAGCTTTTCGTTGTTTGCTTTGCACTGAAAATCGGCTCGCTATCTGTCTCACTCCAAAGAAAATAAAGAGGGAGCTTTGCGCTCTTTGCTTTTGTAATACCGTTAATCAGTTCACGGCAGAGATTTGTTTTGCTCTGTGGCCAACAACATAGTTTAATTCTATGCAAACCAGTATGGATTGCAATAATTTTTCTTTTGTTCACCATAATTTTTATCAGATCTTTCAGCAGTTGCTTCTTAAAAATAAACTGAGAGCACAAGTCTAATCGTAATAAATCAACAGCGATCAAGCAAGTTTCATGTAATCGTTGGAACGTGTTTGCAAGTGTTGTTCGTGTATGAAGCCATTGTCTGCAACATGAACCATAAATCGTAATTAAATAAATAACACAAGAGTTGTGCTTATGCCAAAAAATATAGCTTATTGCTCGTCGATTTTATTAGTTGGTATATAATCATAATATTAGTCAAGTAATGATCAAATGTGATAACAATTGTATTTTTTTTTTAGCTACTCAACAATGATAATACACATAATACATATATTTATATATACATATGATGTATCTATAAGTAAAATGCATACAATAATTAAGTAAGGGTCCACAAAACGTGTGAAAACCCAAAACAAACAATTAACAGCGTTTGCGAAGGTACACAAGGGGAGGAGGGAATGGGGGAGGGGGACTCTCATTGGGAGAGAAAATATTGTATGAGCTTTAGATAAATGCGCTCAAGCAGCGGCCACCAATGCTCCACGAGCAGCTGCAGCAGATGTCCAAGCGTCGGCGACAGCCTGCACATGTAAACCGTTAGCGCAGACAGCACACGCAACAACATGGGTCATGGCTCATTCCGCTCCGGATGCACTATGCAATAGCTGCTCTCAACATCATCATCATCATTGTCATCATTAGCATTATCATCACCGTCATCAAACTTGTCGAGATGCGACGCCATTGTGTTCTTATACGCATCGAGCTGGGGATGCTCGACGATTTTGGCGATATTGCACTCGCAACACCGAACGGACATGTCGCCAAGGCACAGCGCCAACGGATGTTTGTTGCGTTGGCAATGCTGTTCGATGTGGCCGTATGTGTGGGGACCGCAACCGATCTGATGACAGCTCAAACACAACCAATTCTCCACCGTTGATTCGCAGTCGCCGCACGCGCTCTTCTTCCCCCTTATTGCTGATGCCGCCATTATCAAAAAAACAAAATACGTAAGTAAATTTCAATTAGTATCGGGCATAATTCAGCACACAGCACACAGAGCAGAGCATTTTAACTGTCATCACAAAGCATAGCAAACATGCATAATATTTTCGCACATATTTATATGCCTTAAAGGGGAGCTAATGGAAAAAGTGTTGCTGTTCACTCGCACACGTGCAAGGAAGTGGGTTTCCATTCAACTAGAGAACGAACATGTCGCAGCAAGCTGCGCAAGATGTTCGACTGCGCAGCTGACAAAGAATCGAATCAATCGATCCTATTTTTGATTCAGTCAGCTTTTAATCGATTTGGCGGCTTTTTACATTGTATAACAAAGAAGCTAATATATATATATATACATGTATATACTGATAAAAAAAAAATCAAACAAAAATAAGTGATATTAAAAGCTATAAAAAAACGCCAATAAAAAGCTTTGTACAAAATTATTCATGCACATAATAACTGTAACGAGCGAGAAAAGAGAGAAAGTGAGGGATAAGCTTACATTTGGGAGCCTCCGCCGTGCGCAAAAGGCTCAAGTGTGGGCAGCTTTTGAGCGCACAAATTGTAAGCAATTCCTTTTGCTCGAGTGCCTGTACAAGCAAACAATTAAAGAGCTCAACAATTGGATGCAGTCAGAGAAAGAGAGTGATAGCAAAATATAAATATAGTGAGATGGAGTAGGGGAGGGGATGGGGGGAGTATTATATCTTCTCTGCCTGTTTGCAGCCTGGCACGCATCTCTATTCCAGCCGAATAATGAAGGAACTGCGCTCGCTGCTGGACACGATCCGATCTACGCCTGCCAAAATGACGCGTTGCCTTCGGTTCGACGCTCTCAGCACACGAAACCGCTCTCAGCACACGAAGCCGCTCAGCTGAGACGATTTTTCTTTGGGAGATTTGACGCCTTTATGTATTGCCTGCTAAATGGTTCGGATCGACGCTCTCAGTACACGAAGTCGTCCCGCTGAGCGAGCAGCGGTTTTTTTTTGATTTTTAGTCGATTTGACATCTCAACACTTGGTGGGTGGGGGGGTTAGTAGAGAGAGAGGGAGGCAGACAGAGAAAGGAAGGGAGAGAGAGATAATGGGAGACAGGATGCTCGACAATTGAATCAGAATTAAATCGTACCTCTGACGCATGTTTGATTTGCGTTTTTACCTTGACTTTGGGCTTGGTGCCGCTGGCCGAGATCTGCTGCTGGCCACCACCATCACCATCATCGTGGATATTAGCAGCGGGAACGGAAGCATCTCCATCACCCTGCGACGTGATATTTAGCTGCTCCAATGCGACAGCAAGAAAATCCTCATTGTTATTCTTCTCGCCCAGCGTGCTGCCTTGTGGCAGTTTGCTGTTGAACACCAGCGACTTCCAATGCTTGCGCTGCTGCTCCACACACAGCTGCAGCGTCTCCACACAGCTCTGGAACGCAACCGTTTGGGAGCCGAGCGCTGATGACGAGGATGATGCGGATGTGGACGAGATCGGCACTGGATCACCTAGCAGGGTCTTGGTGCACATGGTCATCGCATACGATATGGAATTGACATTGTAGCCACCCTCGAGGCACACAATGATCCGTCCGCCAGCTAATGCGGACAGCCAATGGGTGAAGAGGCCATAGCCCTCCGGTGTCACCTTGCAACCACCCAATGGATCACCGATAGCCGCATCGAAACCAGCCGAAACCAACACCAGCTGCGGATTAAACTCGTACGCAATGGGTAGGATTAGCTGCTGGAAGGCCAACGCATATTCCACATCGCCCATGCCCTTCTGCAAAAAGGATTGATGCAATCCACTCAATTAGAAATTGGAAGAGTTGATAATAGCTCATAAAAGCTCACCTTATTCCATGGGATGTTCACATTGAAGCCACATCCGGCATTTTTGCCACAAACATCGTAGTTGCCATCGGGTCCCTTGGGAAAGAAGGCGCCATTCTCGTAGCGATGGACACTAATGTAGAGGACCTTGGGATTGGACTCGAAGATGTGCTGGGTGCCATTGCCATGATGGACATCCCAGTCAACGATCAAGATGCGTTCCAATTGATATTCACGTATCGCATACTGTGCGGCAATTGCAACATTATTGAATATGCAAAAGCCATGCGGATGATCCGATTCGGCATGATGTCCCGGCGGACGGACATTGCAGATGCCACTGCGCGTCTCGCCGCGCATAACACTATCTACCGCCTGGAGTACGGCGCCGGCGGCGAGTGTGGCACAATCGAAGGTACTCGGATGTAGATAGACGGAATTGTAATCGGCACCCAATTGCTGCAATTCATCCGGTTTGCGTCCGGCCAGACGACGGACCGTATTCACATGGGCACGTGTATGGGCCAGGCACACCTCATCCGTTGTCGCTGTGCGCGGCTGCAGCGGCTTCATCCGTTCGACCAGCTGATAATCGGTGTGCATCTGATGGATCTGACGAATGCGCTGCGGCTGCTCCGGATGTGTGACATCGTGCAGATTGCAATGGAGCAGCATCTGTGCATCGTAGGCATAACACACTCGCATTGCCGGCACACCCAGCTGCGTTTCGGTGCGCAGCAGACGCAGACGTGCTGTGTTGCTTGCCACAACTGTGGCACTCAGCTGGACGGAGGTGCCACGCGTCGGATACCGTTGATCGACGGCCGGCACTGTTTGTATCGGTCCGCCCAGCCAGATGCGTTGAACGCAATGCAATTGTTGCGCTCCATCGGTTGCATCCATTGCGCCATGCTGCAGCTGCTCCAATTCGCCGGGTGTATAGGTCTGTTGCAGCTGCAGGCAGCGCCAGTACGGCCGATGCACGTAGATGCAGTTGAGCAGCGCCGTACGCAACTCTGGGCTGGGCAATAGCAGCGGCTCCACCAGCGCCGGACACGGATCGCCCAGCAGAGCACGCAGCGTGAGAGCAGCACCCTCGGACAATGAGTCGACACAGTAGCCACCCTCGAGGATGACAGCGATGCGTGCGTTGGCCAACGGCAGCAACGGATTGAGTAAATGTGGATAACAGGCGGGCGTCACTTCCATCTCGCCCTCGGGACAACCCAAGGCCGCATCATAGCCGGCCGATACAAGTATCAGCTCCGGCTGAAACTCAAGGGCGACGGGCACGAGCAGCTGCTGGAAGATGGCCAGATAATCACCGTTGCCCATGCCTTTCGCATTGAGCGGCACATTGAAATTGTAACCGGTGCCGGCGCCAGAGCCAATCGCATGAAAATCCGATTCTGGCAAATTGGGCCAGAAGCTGCCATGCTCGTAACGATGTATCGAGAAATACAAAACCCTATCACACAGAGAGTAAGAGAGAGAGAAAGAGAGAGATAGAGAGTGAGAGAGAGCGCATGTTGAGCAGTGAAGATTAAGCGATATGTATGGGAATATGCGGCTCACCTGGGATCATTGTAGAAGAAACGCTGTGTGCCCTGGCCATGATGGACATCGTAGTCGATGATCAGGATGCGCTGCAGCTGATAGGCATCGATGGCATGCTGGGCAGCCAAGGCAACATTATTGAAATAGCAATAGCCATTAAATTCTGATTTCATCGCATGATGACCAGGCGGCCGGATAATGGCCATGCCGTTCTGTGCCTTGCCCAGCAGCAGTTGATCCACAAGCTCAATGGTCGAGCCGCTGGCCAAAAGCGATAGCTTAAACGTGGACTAAATGTGTGGGTAGGAAATCAGAGAGGGGAGCATTTGTTAATCTGAACTTAAAACAGATCATGTAATATAAATATATGTATATGTATGTGGGATTTATGATGTATATATATATTTATACAAAGGCAATTGAGACTATCTAATCTGACTATGGACTACGAATACAGCGTCTGTAAAATATAATCTGTCCCATCTGTAGTGTTATAAACTTATATGCACAGATGTAGTCTCTACTATCTGATCCGGAATACAATACAATATACAATTATAATTTGAGAATTATCTGTAGCTTATATTATACATATGTATATATGCAAATGTAGATGAGACTTGAACTGATCTGACTATCGGAATACAAAACCTGTATTTGCAGCACACACATGAATATATACTATATATTGTTCTACACTATATAATCTGGCCATGGAAATACATTAGCATACATTTACAGGATTTATACACATAGAGAAACGTAGTTTATATTATCTAATCTAATATATTCTCACAATTCTTACGCTTGGCTGATTTTCAGAGATTACAAGCTATATATATATATATATGTATACGTATATGTTCTACAGATACCACAATTGTTTTGGTTATTGTTTTTTGTTTTTTTCTTTTCTCCCACATCTTATCAAATGCATACATTATTGAAGAATTATGGGAATGCGTAGTATGTGGAAAGGTTATCAGGTTGTCTTCAAAGAGCTCCCTTCACTTACCGGATGTATAAAGATCGCATCATAATGGGAGCTCAGTTCCTCCAGTGCCTCATCATTTTGAACGCCAGATGTTTGCTCCAAGCGTTCGTAATGCTCCATCGAGTGCAGCTTGAGGATCTCCTCCTTTGTGGCCAGACGCGATTTTAGCTGCAGACAACGATCCACCAGTTTCAGCTCCCGACAACTGTGCAAGCAAAGAGTATCTATATTATATATATATATATATAGTGTATAGTATATAGTATATATACCGTTCCATTGTGCGCGTAAAGCGCTCGGGTCTCTCCTGATGCGTTTCATCCCAGAGGCAGCGATGCTCGCTCATTGAGTCATCATAGATGAGCGCTGTTGCCCCACGCTGCATATTCTTAGCATTCATGGCCTGCAGCCGAGTGGTGGTAGATTAATAATATGTGATTAATGTGATTATATATATATATATATATATACATATATACACACATATATATATGTATGCACAGACACACATTTACTCACATTCTGAAAAATGTCCACCACTGGATCTGTAGACTGGGCTTTCAGCATGTTGCGCGCTCGACGTTTCGCCTCCTGAAGCGCTGGACTCGGTTTGCGAGAAGCGCAGCTGCTGCTGCTGTTGCTGCTCAGCGCAATCGCTGCATTTGTCGCCGTCGCTGTCGCCGTTGACGCCGTTGAGTTGAGCGTTGATTTTGACTTAAGCATTGCGCGTGTTTGAATCTTTGCCTGCTGTGCGCCGCGTCGCGTTACAATCGGTGAGCTCTGTCAGCGAGAGAGAGAGATAGAGAGAGAGATATAGATATAGAGATAGAGAGAGAGAGAGAGAGAGAGAGAGAGAGAGAGAGAGAGAGAGAGATATAGATATAGAGATAGAGAGAGAGGGAGATAGATAGAGATAGAGAGGGAGATATATTCATATACATACGTATAGATAGAGCGTGTGTGTGTGTGTGAGAGAGGGAGAGACAAAAATAAATAATAATAAACAAAGATAATAACGACTCTTTTCGAGCTTTTCACTAACTGAAATTTAATATATATACATTTTTTTTTGCTTGAAATCTGGACTTAGTTTTGGCAGTAACAAGTTTAAAACCTAACCCTATGCCATCTATATGATATAGTCCGATCTGATCCGGCTGGCGTAAATTGTCAGCTGCATCAAGAAAGTTTAGAAACTGAGAGACATCTACTAAACCACCAAAGTAAAATATCAATAATAAAGTAACGTTTGCTTATTTTTGATTGCTTAAGTTGCGCTTATCGAGTAGCCACTGTATTTAGTACAAGCTGCCTGTTGATTCACAAAGTTTGCTTGGATTCTATTCAGGTGATTCGCTTAGCGAGAATACTCTTATTTTACACACACACACACACACAGACATACACAATTTAATTAAAACGGACTAGTTAATTAGAACAGCTGGTTTAAACGCCGAAAATGCTTTAACAGAGTTGTGTGCGCATAATTAATTGACACTCGTAACTGGTTACTTGAACAACAATGACTACAATATGTAAAATATATATATGAACTATATATTTATATATATATAACCGTTGGCCACCAACCAAATCAGCGCGTTAACTGAACTGATTTGCTGTGTGGTGCAAAGTGTTAATCGCAATGCCGACGCCGGCAGAGACGGCAACGGCGAGCTGAGCTCTGACTGCGACTGCGAGCTGAGACTGTGTGGGTGTTGTTGCTATTATTGTTATTGTTGTTGTTGTTGTTGTTAAGCTTGCTTTTGCCAATGCCGCATTTGGTGTTGGTCGAAAAAGGCGCGCGACGACAACGACAACGTCAGCTGTGGACTTACCATTATTTCTATAGTATGTGTATGAAGATATATATGTATATATATCTATATGATGATGATGATGATGAAGCTTTAAGCTGATGCTGTGGGCGTCTCTCTTGCTTGCACTGATTGGCTCTGCTGCTGCTGCTGCTGCTCGTCTGTTTGGAGGTGGGCGCCCACAATGCGTGCGTTAATATGCGTGCGTGCTTGCGTGCGTGCGTGCGTTTGTTTTGGCTGCTCACGTTGCTGTTGTTGTTGTCGTTGCGTGTTAGGAGCAACTGAATTTTTTCACAGCACTTTATTGATTTGAGCTTAAGCTGTAATTTGTGACATATAATTACACGCCATACATATATATATATATGTACAGATATATATGCTTGTGCAGGAGTCGTCTTGCCTTAGTTATTAAGTATAGTATATTCGCTATCTCGCTCGCCTTCACGCTGCGTCAGTTTTAGTCCGTCCGTCCGCTGGTCCCGCCGACCCTCTGTCCCTCAATCTTCTGTCGCGCTTCAGTTGATTTTATGCTTTGAGCTTGTTGCTCTTGTTATAAATAATACCCAAGCTATGCCCATGAATTTCTTAGTGCGTTCGCTTTTCTATTGTTGCTTCTTTCAGAGCACAAAAAACACACAACAAAAAAATATGTTTGAACCAAAACAAAATAATAAACACTGTTCTTCACACACACATACACAAACACACACACACAAACAGAAAGTCGAGCGCACTGAAGACCGTCGAAGACGCCGATGGCTAAATGCAACGAAGATTGGCAGCAAAACCAGAGAACCAGAACCAGAATGTGATTCAAAGGCAAAGGCGGCGAGTGTAAATCAATGCGAGCGACGGTCGGTCGGTCGGTCGGACGGGCGGGCGGGTGTTTAAGCGGCAGGCGGCAAAGTAATGTTTGTTTGCAGTCTTCTATTGTTATTGTTTTACGGTTGCAAGAAGTAAGTGACCGCAATTGGCAAATACCAAAATGCCAAAAATACCATGACCAAAAAAAAAACCTAGTAGATAAAGTACTTTCGTATCTATAATTAATCTCATCAATGATTTTTATTTGAGTCCATTCTGCTTATATTTATATGTATTTATATATATATTGTTGCGGATCAGTTTTCCCTAACAGAGCAGGTGCGTCCATCCAGTTCTCCGTTAGGGATGGGTCTGACCATGACCGCGGACCGTGCGATAACACATCATACAAATCTACACATCACTAGTAAAACAGCTGACTTAACGGACAGTAGCAATCATAAACATTCCAAAGCAAAAAAAAAGAATATGTTATTTCGGCGTCCAACGGCAACTTCGATGTCATTGCTGTAGCGCTCCCACCCTGCCTGCTCAACAATAATTTGAGTTCATGCGTTAGCGATCGCATCTCATCCTAACAACATTTTGGTTCCCCTCCAAACCATTCTAAAAACTTACGCGCGTATTTTAAATTTCAAAATACAATTGCGTGCATTTTAGCACGCTACTTTTAATTAAATTAACAATTTTCGGCTGTCTTCTCGACCTACAAAGATTCGAATACTGCCTATTTTTTTCAACTCTTACGGATAATTTCCCATTTCCATATGCATTGAGCGCTCTCCTCCGTTTCCTCTCTATTTGCGCCTTCATCCTCTATTCTCTTAATATTTAAGCAAGGGGCTGCCACCTAGTCGATCCTTGGCATGTACATATGCTTGTGCAGGGACAGGCTGCATAATTTTATGAATTGTAAATCTTTTTCAGTTTTTAAAAGAAAATTAAAAATTCATTTGATTCTGCGACTTCTGCTTAATTCAGAAAAAAAAAACTCCATTGAGTATTTCGAGAGGCAATTTTAGATTTCATTTTTTGTTTTTGTTATCAGTTTAATGTACAAAGTCGCACCAATTTCGCTCAACCGCCGGTGCAATGATCGTGCTGTTATCGATATCGATACAGCAACCCTGTAAAGCATTGTGCGTAAGTTTGAGTCTGTGTCAGTGCGTTTGATTTTATATTACTAAACAAAATTTATAGATACGATTCAGTTAGGCAGTAATATGGACGATTTGGACAATAAGTGTAACAAAAATGCATCCTTCAACTGGGACGAAATAAGCGTGGGCGATTACAATCTGGATCACTCGCAGAATTTCTTTGGTATGCGGAATTTGCGCCTTTATTTCTTGTCTCCATACATTTTACAGTTAGTTTGAATAAAAAAAGACAACAAAAAGAATTGCGCCATTTTAAAAGCCGGCTCTTCAAACATTCAAAGCAAGCGCAGACTTCAACCTGTGTTATACCTATGTGCTATATAAATATAAATCTAATTATGATTAATACGTGCTTATATATGTGCAGTAACCCTAACAAAATTCCCATTAATCATTGACAGTTGCGTCCGCAAAAGAGGAAAACTTGCGTGCTCCATTCAACTGCAACAATGGCCCAAAAGAACAAATCGAACAGCATCAGGAACCGGAGCAGAAGAAGAAACAATCTCCATGCCAGCAGCAGCACCAAGAGCAGCAGTTACTTCCCATAATCAAAAAGGAATCTGTCTCACCTCCAACAGTTTGTCCAGGTGCTGGCGCCGCTTCAATAGAACAAAATCAACATCAATTCTGCATGCAGGAACTGCAGAACCAAGTGAAGCTGCCATTGACTCCACCTAAAAAACAGTTGGAGGTACCCACAAACCAGATAGACAACAATCAAGAAGAGTGGTCGCGTGGAGTGGTCAAGTCGAGGCCGCAACTTAAGCTGATGTGGACACCTTGTGCAAAGGGTGCCAATGGTGCCGATGGTGGTGGTGCTGCCGGTTTGGGCACTCCCCGGGCCTACCGATTCAAGGATATGTACAAGGCCAAAAGGGAGATGGCCGAACAACAGCGCAACGAGGAGGAACGGAAGGCACGCGAATTTCACAGCAATCCGGTGCCAAACTTTCGTGCCATGCACAAGCGAATTGCGGAGACTATTGTGATTCATAGGATCACAGTTCCCGTCACGCCCGAAACCGTAAAGCACTCGAAGAAATGGAAAGAGCAACAAGTAAGTAAAATAAAATAGCCAACATATATGTATTTATATATATTTTTTTTTCTGAACTTAACAGTGCATACAGGCAGCCAAAGAGGTTGAGGATGAGAAGCCAATGAGCGTGGCCCAAAAAAATACGAAACCGAAGCCGTTTAATCTACGTACGGAGCAGCGTATGCGGGATCGTCGTGAATTCGATGATAATGTCAAGGAGAATCATCAGTTGAAGAAGAAGAAGGTGAATAAAAAATAATGAATAACCGAATGAATGTGTATGGTAATGTTTAAAATCGTCAAAATCGTATCATTATGGCGCACAGCCATTTCTGGTCACACTGGCGCACACAGCATTTTCACATTTGCAACAGTGCGAGTGCCGATAACGATAACGATGATAGCTTTGTCTCGATTTTGCGCTAACATACATGTCCATCTATTTACCGTCTCATATTTGCGTTAGCAGTTGCAATTTAGCAGTTTGGGGCAAAATTAAAGTTTCAGCTGCAGCGTTATTTTTTTTTCTGTAACGAAAACGGAAGCTCGTTCGTCGACTCAAAAGTAAAACACAATAATTATAATACAGAAAAAGCATAAACGCTTGCAATATTCGCAAATATTGAAGAAATACATACACATGTACACAGCTTATGTGTATATGTATGTGTGTGTATGCATACTTGTTGTTTGTGTGTGGTGTGAGTCATGACGTTTCGGTAAACGGACGGCGTAGAAAAAAAAAATAAAAATAATAACAGTTATATTGTGGGTGTGTGTGTGTTGTGTGCGAATTGCACAAAGAGCGCAACGCGTGACTATCGTTAAGGATTGCAACGAATTTCGGCGAACTCGACGACAATAGCAGTGAGCCAAAGGATTAACAGCAGCTGCTGCGCCCATACATAAATACACACGTACATATACACACACGCATACAGTGGGAGCAGCAACAACAGCAACAAGAAGAAGAAGAGGAGGAAGAAGAGGAAGAAGCAGAAGCAGAGCAGTCGTCACAGTTGAAGTACGATCAACGGCCCGCTTGTGGAAACAACAGAGTCACAATAGAAACTTGTAAATCGTGAGCCAGCCTGCCTGCTACTGCTGCTGCTGTGCGTATTAAATAGAGCTGTAGTAAACAGTAAACAAAGCAAGCTCACAACTAACTGCCTGCACTACGCTCTCTCTCTCTCCCTCTCTCTCTCTCTTTCTCCATCTCAGTCACTTAGCGCCACTTTCGCTACAAGCCAAGCACTCAAATCACAAACAAACAAAATGGTTGATCGCCTTGTCAACTCGGAATTGAACACACGTCGGATAGCGTCTGTGGAGAGTTGCTTTGGCAGCTCGGGTGTACCGTTAGCGGTGCCCGGCCGCGTCCTCGTCGGCGAGGGTGTCTTAACGAAAATGTGCCGCAAACGTCCCAAATCCCGTCAATTCTTTCTATTCAACGATATACTTGTCTACGGCAACATTGTCATCGGTAAGAAGAAGTACAACAAACAGCACATTATGCCACTCGAGGAGGTATCGCTGGAGTCGATAGCGGACAATCAGCAGTATCGGAATGGTTGGTATATACGCACCACAACCAAATCGTTTGTGGTGTATGCGGCGACAAGCACCGAGAAACAGGAATGGATGGCGCACATCAACAAGTGTGTGGAGGATTTGTTGCGGAAGAGCGGCAAGAAACCGGTGGAGAATCATGCCGCTGTTTGGGTGCCCGATGCGGAGGCAAGCATTTGTATGCGCTGCAAGAAGACACAATTTACGTTTGTGCAGCGGCGTCATCATTGTCGCAATTGTGGCGCCGTCGTCTGTGCCGCCTGCTCCTCGAAGAAGTTCCTGCTGCCGCAGCAAAGTGGCAAAGCGTTGCGCGTCTGCGATGCCTGCTACGAGACGCTGCGGCATACCACATCTGGCCCGGCCGGCAGCAGCAGCACCGCTGGTAGCGCTGCCGGCAGCAAATTGAATGCGAGCGGTGCCGCCGCTGCTGCTGCTGCGTCCAACGATAGCTCCAATGATGATGACACGGATGAGGACACCGCCTCACCGCCCGCCGAGGGCCACGATGAGCCGCGCTTCTATGGCGACAATAGCACACTGTCCGCCCAGGACGAATCGATCGGTGGAGGCAGCACTGCTCTCTCCAGTCCAACAGCTGCTGCTGCAACAGGTGCAACTGTTGCAAGTGCAACACCAGCAACGGCTTCCTCCGTCTCAAATAACAATTGTTGAACAAACAAACAGCAACACCAACAACATAAAAAGAAAAGAATAAAATAACTCCCCAAAAGACGATAACGGATATGAGACACACACTGGATGTGGGACTGGATCAGTGGTACTACTACATACTATTTGCCATATACTATATATAATCCCATGCTATATAAGTGTACTTATATATATATATATATTCTAGTTGGCAGATCTCCGTCGCTGACGACGAGACGAGAATTCCATTTCCAGTTTTATGCTAATCTTATCAGCTTCAGTTTCTGCTGCTGCTGCTGCTTCTGTAATTGTTTTTCACTATACATATAGACATATATAGATATATACATTCGTACATACATGCAGTAGATATTCAGTCCGCTCGTTGCCTGTCACATGCTCTCCACATACATACATCTATACATTTATATATATATATATATACATACACATAATTTGTGTGTATTCATCACAATTACAGTTTGTATATAATGATTGAAGGACCGCACATATATGTATTGTACATATATATATATATATATATATACCGATTGACGTTCACAATCGGAATCGTAATCAGTAGCTAAATTCCACATTTGTTTGTTTTAGGAGCCAAGTACCGCAACTGATTTCATTTGTACACCGAAAAGATCGTATCGCGAATCGTATCAAAACATATCGCAGCGGAACATCATTATAGTCGATCCCGTTACTTTCAGTTGTAGTTTTTCTGGTCTCTTTCAGATCTCTGATAGACATATATACCTCACATGGGATTGTCTCTTATGATTTTTCATACTTGCTCAGCATTTTTGATCATTCAATGAGAAAAGCTTTATTATTCATTTGAGTGTCCCTTTTTGTTATTGTGGAGCGCTTGTTCTTTTTTAATAACCTTTAATGCGAATTGCTTCTTAGGAATCAGCACATGAGGAATATTACGAATAATTTTATCAAGAGCATTGACCCCATTTTATGATGTATTTATTTTTAATTCAACAGATTTGCTGCTTTGTGACTCCTTTGACTCGTAGCGGCGAAACTTACTCACAAAGTTGCACGCGACTCGATTTTCAGCTGCGTTGCACGAGTCTCAAAAGCTACGCTTCCCATTTAGATTTTTTTACGAGGTTTAACAGAGCCAATAGAACTTTGAACTTTGGCATAGTGGGGCATAAAAACTACACTTTTTTCGCCGAATTCTTAGCTTCCCCAATTCCTTCAATGAAATCCAATGTGTTTCATTATCCTTTAGAAAAAAGATATAAAAAAGTGGATAAGAATAATGATGAAAAAGTGGCCAATGTGAAGAAAGAAAAAAAAAAACAATCAAGTCGTGTGCGACTTGGTCTGTATCATGCCCATTGGATGCTCTGCCGTTGTGGGCTGCTTCAAGCTTACACCTGTACAGGTTTTAATGATTTTAATGACCGCAAACTATTCGCTTTAATTGACTGACTGTGGAAAGTTGGTCGGCAGTCATTAGCGGGTTTTTTCAGGGCATATAATGTGCAAATTTAATATATATATATATATATATACATATATAGCAATAGTATTTGATAAATACTTAACTAATTATCTATATGCCTCTCTCTCATTGCAGCTCGACGACGAACTTAAGCAGCAGGAGTTGGATGAACGAAAGGAACTGCGCAAGAGGACGGAGTTTAAAGCACGTCCAAATCCTTTTAAGCCAGCATAAACTTCAACACACAAATATATACACACACACATGCACACACACACACACACACACACACACATACACACACACATGCACACACACACACACACACACACACACACACACACACACACACACACACACACACACACACACACACACACACACACACACACACACACACACACACACACACACACATACACACACACATACAGACACCCACACACACACACACACAATAATATACTATAAATACGTCTTCTTTTTTTGTTCACATATGTTTTTAATTTGTTCATGAACAACTATTGTTAATCTAATTCGTTCAGTGTACAAACTATATACATATGCATACATATATATATATCTATATATATATATATATGTGTGTATAAGTCGCCAGTTACACAAACACACACACACACACACAGCCACACACACACACACAGCCACACACACAGACACACACACACAGCCACACACACATATGCATATGTATATATATATAGATGTTTCATTATCACCAATCGACAATTGTTGCATTAATTGTGATTAGTTAATGGAAATGCAAAGTTGGCAGTTGATTTTGATCAGCACAAATGCCGATCAATATTTTTGTAAATGTTATATACTATAATATGTATTAGGGAGCGTCAAGGATAGAAGAAAACTCTAGCAACGATATTTTGCATTAATTCATTCATTCGATTTTTTTTGGGGTTACGGTATGTTTAGGGGGCAGCTGATTTGAATTAGGCAGTCTCACTGCTAATTAGATGAAACTTACATACTCTTCATACACACACACACACACACACTCACACACACACATATATATATATATATATATACATACATAAATATCAAATCAAATTTACAACTTTATAAATTAACACTGTTTTTAACATTATTTTTGTTCATTTCCTTTGGTTTTTTTTTTTACTTACATCTATGTAGACACCTGGACATTAAAATGGATGTGAAGACAAAAAAAAAAAAGAAGGTAAATATCATGTGGAAAATATTTTATTTTCTGCATGATATTTATATTATTTTGTTGAAGATTCACAAGTTATTGTTCTCCACAGGTATTTGAATGTCCAGGTGTGTATATATAATATACATACATGCATATAAAAGACCCGTCGTCGAAATGAAAGGTTTTTAATATCTGTACAATTAAGCAATCATTAACTGTTTTCTATTTGTATAAAGCGAAACAAACAAAAATAAATTTATTAATATTGTAAAAGCTGCCTGTTTGCATTTCTTATTTGAACTCAGCAATAGCAAACTGAAAAAATGGGAAGCTCTTTTTATAGCAGTAGCAATGATGAAGTCGAGTGAGCTCGCCGTGATATACCCTGCACTCAACTTTTGAATATATTCTAGTTTTATTGAGCAACTTAATATTGACTGATCTAAAATGCTTGCGTCTGTTAATGGAAATGAGATTAATATAAGAATACATTTTCGACTGCAGCTTGGGTGTCTCTTTTTTATCCGATTTTGATTTAATTTGTCCAGTTGATCAATAATAGATGTTGTACGTATGCCAGTACATCAACGGCGGCGGCGCTGCATTTTCGCAAATTCCATTCAGATAGTGAACTATCATCGTCGAGGCCATCACCAAATTCATCATCATCATCCTTGCCGCCGGCCGCCTGACTGTCCTCGCCTGTGTGCGCAGCAGCATATACTCAATGATCTGCAGCATGTGTGGCAGCAGATCGGTTGATAATGAACCGATTTATGCATGCAATCGCATGCGAACGTATCTTGGGATTGGTATGCTTGATGTACTGCAAAAATGTGGTTATCATAACGAATTAATATAATACGCACACATTATAATACTGGTTATCGAGCATGTCGCACAGCGATGGCAACAACCGCGCCCAGTTCTGCAGGCCACCATTGCTAGCTATTGTGATCAGAATGCCGGCTGTGGCACGTATCAGTGCCGACTGATTCATCGCCCACCGCTTGGAGGCACTCGTGTTTTATATACTCGACAATCTCCGGTTGCAAATTGCTGCCAATTGTTGCCAATCATAAGTAAGGCTAATGGCGGATCCAACTTGTGGCCGGAACTGCTCGCCTTCTCAAATGTTCTGTGTGCATGTACAAGTGAGAGGCACTCTACTGCTCTCTCTCTCTCTCCCTGTTTGCTGTGTATTGCCGCACTGCTCATGTGCATGCGACTGTCTCTCGCTCATTTGGAGAGAGAATTAGAGGAAAAAAGAAGAAAAACACGTGGGCATATTTAGGAAACATAAATGTTGGCCATTTATTTATGGTGCACAGTTATTTAGAACTGGCCATCGCTGCCCCAGGAGGTCTTGACGGTATCCTCGTTCCAGTCCTCGACACCGCCGCCAACAGTCTCGGCAGCGACCTCATCGGCCCAATTGGTTGTCTCTTCGACGGGATGATCGACGGCCTCCTCGACCTTGGGTGGCGGCAGCAGCTCCTTGGCAGCTGCAGCCTCCTCCTTCTCGGCCTCCTCGGGATCACGATAGAAGAACAGATCAACGACCACCGGCCATTCGGTGGTGCGCGAAATGGTGCCACGCAGACGCAACACCTCACGGGCAAGCAGCCACCACATCAGACCAATCGAATGCGGCGACTTGTTGTTGCACGGTATGGCAATATCAATGTAGCGCAACGGCGAATCCGTATTGGTGAACGCAATAACGGGTATGTTCACATACGATGCTTCCATAATTGGCTGATGATCGGTATTGGGATCGGTGACCACCAACAGACGAGGCTCGCGAAAAGCGGGCTGAATCTGATTGGTGAACGCGCCGGGCGTAAAGCGGCCAGCAATTGGCGTCGTATCCGTATACTTGGCAAACTTCAGCACGGCACGCTGGCCAATGGGACGCGACGAGATGACGAACACCTGTCACATTAAACGAGGAGCAGCATTAGACAAGTAAATACATACACACATATATAAGCATAAGACTAGCGTTTGGTTGTTTGTGGCGTGGTCAGCTTTTAAGTTGAAATCATTGCATTTCATACCCGAAAGATAATTTAAGCATCATCATGAATACACCACAATAACAACAAATAAAAATAAATACAATACATTTTCTTGTGGCACTTACATCGGAGGCATTCTCAATGGCGACAATGGCGCGTGCAGCGAGAACCAGTTTCTCCCATGTCTTGCCCAGATTGATGATGTTGACGCCGTCGGCGCGACGCTTGAAAACGTATTGTTCCATCTGGAAATTTACGTTCTCCGAGCCCAGATGGGTGGTGGCGACCAACATTTTGGTAATGTCATCCTCTTTGAGGGACAGTATATCTAAGCCTCCCGACATTTTAACGTGAAAGAGTTACGAAACCTATAACGCAAAATATATTCAATTATAAATTGTTTTACTTTTTTTTCCAAAACATAACCTAAAAATTGAGCCAAAAAAAGAAATGTGGGCCACGTGCCACAGCAAAATGTATCATAAAAAATATTGCAAAATACTTTGAAAACTTTGCATTGCAATTGCTTCGAGGCGTTGCAACTTTGTTGGCAGCAGTTTGCTAGTATTTCCATTATTTTATATGCACATTTGGGGCAAGAAAACTAATTTATTAGCTCTACTCACGTTCTGGATGCCGCTGGGAGCGTTGACAAAATGGACGAGTGACGGCCAGTTTCTCTTTGAGTTGGCCAAAAAAGAGTGTTGGGTTGCGCGCGCCGGCCAATGCTATGCAACACTGTCAAAACTGGCTAAGCGCCCGAAAGCTAACTGCTACAAGTGCGTGGCGTGACAGTAAGCTGCTTGATATGCTACATGCGACCGTTACGATTACCACTATTTGAAATTAAAAACGTTGAAGGAAACAAGAGATTTTTGTTGTTTTCTGTTTTTGTATACACATTTATTGCAAGTTTTTTTGTTTATATTTTCGTAATGTACGTGTGTATGTATGTTTGCTCATTTTGACCACCTTGTAACTACCACATCAATGCATATTCAATATTGATAAATATCGATTCACTTTCCGGATTGCGTTGCCAATATTATCTAATTTATGTGAATTTTGTTGTTTCTTGTACTTGTTGCTTTTGTTGTCGTTGTATGCTTAAGCAGTTATGTTTATGTGTGTGTGTGTGGGTGTGTATTCCATACTATTATTATGTTGCAATATTTGTTCACTTGTTCAGTGTTATTTGGCTTGATGTTGATTTCAATTTGTCACGTGCATTAGTTTAAAAGGAATATATGTACATACTTGAGAGCGAACTTTGACATATGACATATGATGTATGACATACGTTAAGGACATACACATTTATTTAAATATTCAATTTGTTTACTTCCATGCGAGTTTCATGGTAAAAATCTGTTTTTTACGCCTCTTCTCTTTCTTGCATTCCATTTTTTTTTTAGTTTTTTTTTGTTAATTTTAATTTATATATGGTTTTCTTTTTGTTTTTTTTTTTAGTTTTGTATATTTATTAAACATTCAACAAAATGCCCTCATTAGGTATATATATGTATGTATATATATATGTATTTATCTAGCTGTGTGTGTGTGGGCGTGTGTGTGGGTGTGTGTGTGTTATCCTCAGGCTGCACTTTCGCTCATTTACGTACTCGTTAACTTAATAACATTAATAAAAAAACAACATGTTGTATACACAAATACATACATTAAACATTTGTGTTTTCTTTTATGTTTTGTTTTTAGTTTTTGTTTTTGCTTTTTGTTTTTTCACGGCTTAGCTTAGAGTTTCCTTTGGGATTAGTGTTAAATTACTAACTACTTATACAATGTAATGTTAACTTGTTTTACTTGTTTTAATTTGTCCGTAAAGTTTTGTTTTTCTTTGTTAAATACTAAATTGTTGTCTCCTCAACATGTTTTCCAATTTTCCCGTTTTCCTTCGTTATCTTTACTGCATTTTCCACCCGGTTTTCTGCTTACGTTTTAAATGTGAACAATTTGTCTTAAAAAATATATACGTAATAATTAACATTTCGCTATTTCGGTTTTTTTTCTTTTGTTTTTGTTTTTTCTTTGGTTTTTGTTTTTTTTTCCCCTTTTTTTTATTCGTCTCTGTACTTAATTTGTGTATAAAATATTTTTACTACAAAAAATCACTCTTTGCAAATAAAACTCAATGCGTTTTTTTTTTTTAGTTTTTTTTACTGTTAACATTGTTTGCTTTTTCCTTTCTTTTCATTTCCTTTTGTCTTGTTTTGTCTTTATTTTGTGTGGCTTTTGTGTGTCAGTGTGTGTTGAGTTTTGTAACATAACAAGCTTAAAGCGATTACATTCAATAAATATATATATATATATGTGGATGTGTGTGTTTGTGTATGTGTGTGTTTTGTATGTATGTATATATATATCAATAATCCAATTATAAGTTGTTTACATAATCAAGTGATTGAAGAAGCGCACATAAAAACCAGTGGTCGACTCTGCTGACAGCTGAGCAGATAAAAAAGCCATGAGAGCAAATCAAGCGAATTGCAATGCAGAAAAGTAACGCGCAAGAGTAGGACAGAAACGGAACGCACAGCATTGGCAGATAGTGACAGATAGAGGAAGGGGGAGAGTACGTTGAGCTTTATTCACCGTATAATCGAGTTAGACACTGACTTAGACTCTTGCTCTTCCGCTTTACACAAGCCGACCACTGATGCATATACATACATACATATGTATGTATGTAGCATATCGTAAAAGTGTTTGTATGTGTGTGTGTGTGTGTCTAAATACATGCATGTGTTTCACATTCGACTCTAAACATTTAGAAGAGACATAAAACGAAGAGCAACACAATCATTGAATTATTCAATTTTAGCTTTGATTTTAGTTAAATATAAAATGTTTATATGTATATGTATATTTATTTAAATGTTTAGTTTCGCTTTTAGTTATTTTAGTTTGACGTTTTATTATGTTTTGTTTTATTTATGCTTCTAAGTATTTAATTCTTTGCTTTATAATCACTACGCAACTCGCTCTTTCTCCTCCTTATTCTTCTTCCTTCTATTGTAAAAATTAAAACGACATTCATCTGTATTTGTTACACTGTGCCCTTAACCCTGCACCCATGCGCTGAGAACAACAAAAGAGCAAACCAAAAGAGCAACAGCAAAAAGGAAAGAGGCGGCAGCATAAGTTAAATGTACAGAGATGCATAAATCTACACATACACACATGCATATGTGTATGTGTTTTGTACATTGCATGCGGTAGTTAATCAGTGTTGGGCAACGCTAAGCATGCGCTTCAGCTGGGTACAGGGTATTATAGCAAAGTGTGAGTGTTGTTTATCTTCGGTATTCCGATAATTATTTATATTTCAAATTCTTTTCATTGCTGTTCATTAAAAATGTGTGTCTGTGTGCTAAAAATGCAAATGAAAAGCTTGCACACATACATACCTAATATATATATATATATGTATATGTGCATATTTATGTCAGATCTTAGCCCGATCGATTGATCGGCAATCTAAATAACAAGCAATTCGCATAGCATTCAAAATACGATTTCAATTTTCACTTTGTTGTTGTTGTCTGTTTTCAGGAGAACATAATGTGTATAGTACATGAATATATATGTTTATATAAATATGTTAAAATGGCTGCATGTCGATACATGTGTATGTATATCTGTGTATGTGTATGTGTGTGTGTGTGTGTGTGTGTGTCTGTGTATATATCAATAAATGAATGTACGGTTATATGCAATAACATTCATAATAATTAAGTAAATACATACATATATAAATATGTTAATGTGTATATGATTAGCAATGCCTAATTCTCCATTCAAGTTCAATTTCCAGCTCGACCTCCTATATATATATGTATATATATATATATATATATATATATATATATCGTTTCACATTTGATTAGCATTTATGTATAATTTAGTAAATACTAAAAAAAAAAACATTTATTACATTTGTGCTTGTTTGCTTCTTGGTTGTTTTTCTCTTAGTTTGTTTGTTTTTTGTTTGTTTGTTTGTTTGCTTGCTTGTTAACATGTCACAGTTCAATCGAGAATAATAATAACAACTGTTTTCCTTTTGTTGTTGTTTAAAACTTATTGTTAAGCATATGTTTTTTGGCTTTGTTCTTCTGGTACATCATTAATCAGTTAGTCAACACTGAACGCATATTCCATTTCCATTTCTCCTCCTACTGCGATTCATCTCTCTCTCTCTCTCTCTCTCTGTGTGTGTGTGTGTGTGTGTGAGGCGCTTTGGGTTTTTATTTGTTGTTTTTTATATTTATTTTAGTTGTAGTTTTAAATTGTTGTTTAACTTTTGAAAAGCTTTCGGTTTACATTTATTTGAAACGTCTTTTTAATTGCCATGCGGCATCATATTGATTAAATATACACCTATATTTGTATATATGGAGAGATTTTTTTGTTTTCCTTTTTCTTTTTCTTTTCATTATTTTTTCATTTTTTTTTTTTTTTTTAATATTTGACTATGGTTTTTGGTGTAAATGTGGCTGTGTATCAATTTGAAATCGTGGCCGTTATGCGAAAAATGACAAAAAAGCATTTTTCAATTATTCGTTCATTGAAATGTTGTTTTAGTTGTTTAGTTGTTGGATGTTGTTGCGTTGGCAGCTGCTTGATTGAGTTTCGATTATCAATAAGATTCAAGTATGTAATAATAGGATTTTAGTGGCAATGGCCAATGCCAATGCCATCAATATGATTCATACAAATCTCTCCAAACGATTCAGAGCACCGTTTCCATTTCGGCGATTTCCGTTTTGTATGACCTGGTTGCATGTTGGTTGACGTCGTTGGTGGCAGCAAACAATTGGCAGCAGTTGCAGCATTTATCGAGTATGGACAATGCCAACAGAGACTCCAGAAAGTTAGTCAAGTCAAGTATATATATATATAAGTTTCCAATACAAATATAAACATCTATCATGCGAATACTATTCACCCAACAAAAGGGAAAGGTAATTGAGGCAGATTGGGAGGACAGTGGAAAGTGTAAGTAAATAGCTGCGTAAATCGATGGCATTAGCAGTGGCATACAGTGGGAGATCCTTTGTTGTCCATCTCTATGGGAAAGTAACGCCTGCAAGCGCATTACTCACACTCACACACACTCACACACAGACACACACACATACACGCGCTTACGGGCAGAAGGATGCTCTCGAGTTGAGTATGGAGATGGAGCACAGAAAAAAACAGAGCAGAGGAGAGGAGAGGGGAGGAGAGGCAAACATAACATCATCAATCAATCATCAAATTAGGGGTAGGGGTGGGATTGTGGGGCTGGAGAAGGGCGTCTCCCAAGGGCTCGCATGTAAATAAATTAGTGCCAACAAGTGAATGGGGAAAAAAGGACAAACAAAAAGCAAAAAAAAAAAAGAAGGAAAATGAAAAGAAAAACAGAAAACGTCTAGAGTGGGAGTGAGGGAGAGCTTTTAAAACAGGCAGCAGCAACAATTAGCAAGCGTTGCGACTGTGCCATACACTGTTCCCCCTCCACTGAGACTCTGTAAATTTTACTGTTTGCATTATTTTAATCGAAAATAATTTATGTATATACGCATAAAGTACACTCTATGTAAAAGCAACAAAAAAACAAACAAACGAAAGAGAGAATAATTTTCTCTTAAGTATTTGCTAAGCGAAAACAAATCGAATGTGTCAAAATAAGAAAATTCTAAA